AACCCAAGGTCAGATTCTACTTGGGTGGTATATCCCGGATCATGACCTTTGATAAGCTTTCCCAAGCAATGCGGGTGGAGGATGATCCAGAGACAAAGCCTGAAGCGGATGTCATGCCAAACATCGACGCCAAAGCATCCTTTATGGAATTTTGCCTCCCCTTGCATCGACGTCACCCCTTTGATCCAGCCCGTACCACAGCTACCACCTTCATTCCCCAATGGCGTGTCATCAATACAGTCCTCGTGCATTCTATCTTCCCAAGTTGCAAATCGAACAACAAGATCACTAAAAGAGCCCTCCTCGCCTTCCCTGCCATGGCTAATAGAGGAGCGCGTGTCCATATAGGTTCCATCTTGGCAATTTCATTTGAAAGTCCATTGGCAACAAGAGGAATGATGTTATTCACTTGGGGCCCTACATCACCAGGATCACACAATATTTGGTTGTAGACTTGAGTAGTTGCACGAAACAAAAACGAAGTACTCGATTCTGGGAGGGGACCTTGAATGATATGCACTTGCTCAAAGTCTTTGGACCATACTGTTACATCAAGGGTCTCTTTTCGCCACCACGGCTACCAATAGAGGTTCCACCTGCTCAGCCACGCCAGCACTGTCGTCGGCACCTTGCACCACCACCATCATCTTCATCAATTGAAGTTGGTCCCTCCACCTCCACAGTACACCTCGAGGACCAACAGGGATCTCCATAGGCTTGGATAGATCCAACACTCTTCTAGAGTGGATGGCTTGACGATAGGGAGTCTTGTTCGACGACGATGAGTGTTCTTCGGCTCGAGCGAGGTAGTCAACTGAGTGAGATATGTGGCAGAGCCGATTTCTTTCACCCCACTTCTCCACTTGAAACCTCGAACTTTGTTATATTTTTTACTTTTCTTTAGTGCGTGAACAAGTACTATTGTGAACTTTTCTTTTTATTAATCGTGATGTTGAATTTTGTTATGTGTAATAACCTCACCTCAAGCGAGAATGTGTGTGTGTTTTGTGTTTTTACTTCTCTTTGAAGCTCAAATCTCCTACCCCGAAACTTGTCCAACTTTCACTTGCCAATGGTTCGGTAACTTCTTCACAATACCCTTTTTCTCCATTGAGGGCAATGTCGTGCTTAAGTGTGGATGTGTATCAATTGTGATTGGCATGTGATTTTGTGAGTGAATGCTTGATCAAAGTGGCCGGTTGGGGGGAGAATTTTGTGTCTGTTGGTATTGGCCTTGAATTGATTGCTTGTGATCGAGTGCATCCAATTATGATGATTGTGAAGTGCATTAGGTTGTTGCAAGTGTTTAGTTCTCATATGTGTGCAAATGAATGGACAATCTTGGCTTGATTACTCCTCGATTGCAATTGCCATGCATCAAAATTTTTGAAATTGGAATAGATGATTGGGTGACTAGGCAGCCATGTGACTTTTGTGTCGTTCGTCTTTTTCATGTGTGATAGATCCCTCTTACCATGGCGAGTAACATTCACTGTTCTCACTAGTGAGTATGATGGAGGCATAGTATTAGTCCACACCCAAAAGTTTATTGTCCCGAAACATCTTATCCCCTAGTCAACCCCTTTGAGTCTTGTGACTTTAGAGTCATTCTCTTGTTAGGAACTTGTTGCTTTTTTAGGTTAATGGTGATTGATAGAACGAGCCTTTTCCCTTTCTTTGTGTCTAAACCGTTCTGACTCGTCCCTATGTCTCGGAGTTCTCGCTTTGAACTACATTGAGGTTCTACATAGGTGGATTTTGCACGGTTCTTGCTAGGAATGGAAAGGTAGCGTTGGAGGAATTTCTTAATAGAGAGAATTGTTCGTTAAGTGTTAAAGTGACATGTGTTTAGCTCTCTAATATCCCCCCCTCGAAGAAAAAAAGGGAAGAAAAGAAAAGTAGAAAAAGGAATCGAAAAGAGGTAATAAATGGGGTAAATAGAGGATATATAGTTGCCACAAAAGATGATGTTTATGCTCTAAAAAGGGTTTCTAGAAACTCAAGCCATTGAAACACCTAATTGTTTGGCGACCTCCTTCACTACTATGATTGAAGTTTGGATAGCAGGATTAGCCGAGGAAGTGTATTTGAATGTAGTTCGTGGTTGGTGATGGTTTGGAAGAAGGGAAGTGTGGTTTTTGGCCATTGCTAGTGGCCATTGATTGTAGGGTAGGTTCTATTCAAAACCATGGAACCTTTGGTTTTAGGTTGAATATGTAGAACCTCATGCTTTGCTTGCCACCACCCTAAAGGCCTTTTACCCATGTCCAAGACCCTTGCCAGTCATTTGAACTCATGTCTAAGACCTCCGGACAAGCTAGTGATGACAACCATCTTGTGAACTCTAACATTTAGAGGTTGCCACCATGGTGAAGAGAGGATAGGGTTGAGTGTTGATGATTGTGCACTTCTTTTGAACCAAATGGTCTTGACCCCACTAGTCGAGAGAGAGTGATTCATTTATGTTTTGCATGTTCATATCTTATCCCGGTGAGTACCTATTTCGACCATTCATTTGTTCCTCGGACTTGAACTCTATGCATGGTTAGTTGCGGTTGGTGAGTAGTCTTGTTGAGACTTGTATTGATTGGCGAACAAGGTGAGAAATTTGCGTTTGCACATTCTTAATGCATTCGAATGTCGTATGTGATGTTGGTATTGCTTGTAATGGTTCATGTGTTGATGCCAAATAGCCATAGAGATTCACCCGCTTTGAGCCATTTGATATGTTCCCAAGTTATCTTGTTAGGTTGAACTTTTACCTTGAATGGAATTGGTTTGCTCGGGTCTATTTGTACACTTTTTACCCCATTTTCCTTAGATGTTTGAGGTACTTTTACTACGTGAGGTTCGGTTTTACGCTTGGTTTTGGGTGTTTTTAGTATGTTTCAGATCCTAGCAGATGAAATCAACCCATGGAACGAAAGTTGGACAAAAAAAGGGCAGAAACTGGTCAAAGGGGAGCAACAACAGTAGTACATGATGGAGGCCAGAGTTTCACGGCCATCCGGACCGTGAAGAAGAGGCGTGGCCTATGAAGAGCGAAGAGTCCAAAAAGGGTTTGTCCATCTCGAGGGCATAGAGCAGTTCACGATCGCTTGATCGTGCAGACCAGCTCCATACCGTGAAACACCTTAATAAAACAGCGTGTTTTTGCGCGACATCACGGCTAAGGCCAAATGTTCACAGCCGTGAACTGGGACCGTGAAACGCCATCGATCTGGGTATATAAAGGGGGTTGAGCTGAAAGATAAGAGGGGGGGAACCTCTACCTTTTTCTACGAGGGTGCATAAGGAAAGATTGGATGCGGTATGTGGAGGTTTCATGGAGAAGCTGAGGAAACTCCACCTCAACATTCCCTTCTTTGAAGCAATGGCCCACATGCCACGGTATTCGAAATACCTCAAGGGGCTTCTCTCCAAGAAGCCGAAGTTCGAAGACCTCGCCAATGTCACCCTAGGCTAGGAGTGCTCAGCCTTCATCCTCAACCACCATAGGTCCCTATTCATATATCTATCTCGATTTGCTTGATGGCGCATACCCGTCTAACTCTAGAACTCCATACCTAGCGTAGAAGCATAAAGTAGGCTAATAGAGAAGATTAGGGCGACTTACCCAAACACAATCAAGGATAGAATAACAATAGAATCAACTAGATAAACATATTCATTCATTCAAACCCTAAAATATTCATACATACATAATAAACCCTAAAAAATAATGTTTCGGGTTTAGAACCTCTCGTACCTTAGAGGACTACTCCATAAAGAAAGAAAGAAAAAACATAGAAGAAATTGAAGAAGACTTGGGTTGAGGAAGATGCTCCCTCTCTTTTAGCTCCTTCTCCTTCCTTCATCTTCTCTCTCTATAAAAACAGAAATTTCTCTCAAAATCAGCTCTCCTAAAAGTGGGAAAGTAATCTTCTATTTATAGGCAATCTGGGGATAGAGAAGTTCGCGGCCAGAAACACAGAGATCGCGGTTGTGATCTTGAAACGTCGTTGTCTTGACTTTCAGAAATGAGGAGATCGCGGGCTGACTTCGCGGTCGCGATCCATGAGTCGCGACCGTTATCTTCCTCGTGGTCAAATAATATTGTGGCTGTGATTTGACAGGGAAAGTCAATGTTTCTCCCTGGCTCCTTCCTCACGAAGTTCACGCCCTGAACCCTCTAATTCGCGGCCGTGATCTGGGGCTTTCGGGACGCGATCTTCAGCTTGAGTTCGCGGTCTATGTTCCCGGCCATGATCTTCAGCTTCCAGGCCACGATCTTCAACTTCCTGCCCCCTTGCTACACTTGTGACCTTGTTTTGTACCTAATTCGCATATCGTCTATTACACCCTAAAATCACATCGAATTCAAATAGGAAGGAAATATGGATGTAATCGACGATGTTCAAGCAAGTATGCACATGAATTGGCACAAAACAAATCTTGATATGAAGGTTAAATAACAGTAATTTAGGTGTTATCACACACCAAAGACTTTTTAATGCAAACTACAAACATGATAAAGCATACCACAAAAAGCATACAAAAAACATGAGAAAGCAAACCATTAATCTCACAATGCATACCACAATATTTGGTGATCGTAGATCGGTCGTCAAAGACAATTGACCAAACTCCGACGGCCGTCGGTGACCGAATTCTGACGCTGATAAGCATATTCCGACCACGATGACTAGATTCTGATGTTGTAAGCATATTTCAACCACGTTGATCGGATTGCGACGGCGATTAGCATATTCCAATCACGGTGAACGGATTCCGACGACGTTGAGTATATCGCGACGACTGGATCCCTTTGACAGGCGACCGGATTCTACCATCCGAAACATTATGACAAAATAAATATTTTTTCACAATTTTTTTTTTTTGGTTGTTTAAACATAATATTGTCAATCATAATCCTAACTTCTCATTGGTTGGACACTAGTGTTGTCACACTAACAACACCCATTTGTGTTGTCATCCTACTAGTCTCTTTAACAAGTTAGATTATTCAGATTCTCGTAGAGACCATTGTTCTTTGATCCATTACCCAGGTGGCTGAAACAGAGGCCATCCGTTTTCTTATTTCCATTCCCAGCGGGTAAAGGGCCAAAACAGCCTATTGCCAAACAGATATGGCAGTGGAGAAATTGCAACAAATAGCAATACCAGTAATCCAGTATACCACACACAAATGGCCGAATGATATTATGTAGAGATCAACTAAAGCTTTACATTCATATTCACCGAAACAAAATGCATACCTATTCTCAGAGCTCCCTTTCCCACTCATTAAGAACCAACCCCAAATGTGGAGTGGCCATTCCTCTGTTACTTCTTTCGGGCACAATAAGATAAAGAAGGATCCTATATTGGCTAAAAATTACTTCTTCCTATTGCCATTTCGGACCTCTCAATAGCAGGAAGCAGGAGCTCCTCAAAAGCTCGTGAATGTCTGTCTATCCCCAATGTTGAGTTCTGAAGAAGGAATGGGATCTATAGTCGGGAAGGCTGTCTACATACGTCAAACATCTGCAGGAGAGAATTTGAGATTATTACCACAAATATTAAATATATCAGCTCAGGTAAACAGATAAACGCAATATGAATAATCCAAACAACAACGTTCGATCAATGCTCTTTCTTGTAGTAGATTGGAGTTCATTGTCGCAAAAGGTCAGGGACATTTGAAATGCAACATGCATCTTGACCTAAGAGCATAGGAACATCTGAACATGGCAATATACAGCAGCTTCGAGGCATTCAATAAAAACAAACAAATAAACAAGAGACAAGAAGAAATGAAGTCAAACAGACCTAAACAACAAATAGAAAGGGAGCAAAGACTTCATTTTCACCAATTTTTCAACTACTTCACTCAGTTTAGTTCATCACAATTCTGGCAAATTTTGAGCAAGATATATGAATCAAAAGAGATAAGCACGTAGCATCAAAACTCAGAAAAGAAAGAAGCGGTAAGAGGCCAAACAGCAACACTAGCATGTTTCTCGAGCTAAATGTAAGACACATTCATAAATCATGAATCCAGATGAAACATGGGCAAAGTACATACAAGTGGACATGAGTCGCTCATCCATCAAAACAGTTAATTCCTAGCAGTCAAGGGCCAAGAATTATAGAAATTAGAGGAACAAATTTTCTGATTCTCCCAAAAGCCAGAGTCCACACAACCCAGATCAAGAAATACTAACCTCCTATTAACTTGGGGACTCAAGAATTGGACAACAATAAATTTTCTAGTATTCGATAAATCAAGCTTATGTTGAAAGAAGCAAGCACTTACTTGGTCGATGATATCGGGTAATAGGTATCTCTCGTAGTTCACGCCTAATGCAAAGGTATTCACCTAGCAATGCCATCACTGCAAGTCCAGTAAGGTTCACAACCCACCACGTCAGAGAAGAAGGCCATCCCCCATATGTCAAGCATATAAAGAGATGGATGATGTAGATGGTTGCGGAAAAGTCTAAGCACTTCTTTGCCCTCTCAATCAAATAAAGCATAAATCCAGCTCTGCATAGAAAAAAAAAATATAAGCAAAACCACAAATGAAATGTGTAGAGCTTTTATTTTCTTCTGTCTCTTACTCGTATATCATATAAGCAATTCATGACACATAAGCTACAAACCATGGCATGTAACAACAACATGTGACAATTTCAAAGAACACTGTCACAAAGTTACTGTGAATCCAAGAATACAGTGTAGCAGACCCAAACGGCAAGTGAATAAGAAAAGGGAACGTCACATTCCATTAGTCTAGTATGTAAAAGGAAGGAAATATTAGGTTCAATCCATCTATAAATCCTCTATGCAACATAAAAATGCAGACGACCTGTTCTATGCAACAACACAATAAAAATTGTCACCGTTAGTATTGTGTATTTAATCTTAAAGTATGCCAACTCGGCAATTTTCAAACATAAGCAATTTGGTGCTCATTGCAGCTTCCCATCAAAGTCATACAAAGTCCAGCCAAGATCAGCCTAAGGCCTGGATGCCACTTTAGACGGACAGAGGCATTTGAAAACAGTTGAAAATGATAAATCAAAGTCGATGAAATGTAATTCATAACTCTTACCCACATGAATGCATACCATAACCAAGTATTCAAACGAATCCTAGGATTCGTATGACCTAAATACCTAGTAAAGAAAACAAGCCAAGAGTAGGAGCCACACATCCCCATCGATTACCAAATGAAGGATACTGTGCCAAGAATCCAGATTTCGCCATTACATTAAAGTGAAAATGTTCACTACCATCTTATCAAAAAAGATGTTCACTACCACAAAGGATAAGGCATCAATGCTACATAATCTTCCATGACTTCCTTTCTCCCTGCTGATATCTACTCTCCAGTCTCGAAAAATAAGAAATAAGTAAAAAGTCATGAACTTGACAACCAGCGTAAAGACCACTCACACACTACCCACTGAAGTCAAAACCAATCACCAAGCCATCCAAAGTTCAAAGGATCCGGGAATACTAAACCAATTACATAATAACAGCTAGCCCAAATGATTTGCACGCCTTGTTGGGCAGTAGAATGATCAGACCATTAAAACTCCTAATTAGCAAATACAATCGGGACAAAATTCCAGAACAGATACACAAGTAGAGCATCCATCCTCTACGAAGACAACTATGTGGTTCAATAGCACCCAATAAAAAGCATTATACTATCAGTAGGCTGCCGTGTGAAAAATGCTTACCCGGCGAGGGAGCTGAGCAAGAAGGAGGCGATAACGCACCATCCAGTGACGGAAGACGCGGTGACGGTGACGAAATCAAAGAAATAGACGAGACTGAGTCGAGAAACGCGGGTCCCAACGAGAATGGAGAGGAAGAGTCCGACGGTGAGATAGTAGAGGCATTGAAGGCACACGATCTGGGCGACAATTAGCCATGGATCCCATACAATTGAACCATAAAACATGACTGAGACTAATCCCCCGGAAGCGGGGAAAATTAACGAAGCAGATCGAGAGAAATTCCAAAGACAAGGAAATGAACGAACAAGGAAATCAGTGGGCGGGAGAGAGTTCAGTTGCTCACAGAAGGCGGCGCAGAACGAGTTGCGCAGCGACGACGAATTAGAATCAGCGCGCGAATTGTGGATCGGATCGAGGAGAAAGAAAGATGCAAACGGGAAACCACCACATTTTCACAATTCTCCACAGCTGGAGAAGAATACGAAGGAGAAGAATAGAGGTGATGCGCTTATTCCTTCACGTAAGCAAGCAGAAGTTACAAATAGAGAGGGCGGCCGGCGGCTCCTTCCGGCTCTGTCAACCCGGTATAGCGGCCCGGTCAAGCAAGTGGGTGAAGAATTAACGGTCGGATCGGTTTAACTCGATTTAGCCCAATTTGTATACAATATAAAATACCTCTATTAGATAGAATGAGTGCAAAGTTTGACAACTGATACCTTTTAGTAATTTATCTCTAACATGTAAATATATATGAATAATAAAAAAATATTAATATTTTCATTTAATTTGAAGTTTGGTGTAAGTGACAGTTTTGGTTCAAATTTTTAAGTAATACTTTTTTGGCTAACTTTTCAAAATAATGGACAAATTTGACCTATAATTTGAATTGACCGTCAAAATTGACATCAACTATTTTCTCCTTCAATGACGCAGCATACTGTGCTAACTAGGCTCGTACAAATCATTTACTTTTTTAATCGAAACACGTCATTATTATTTTAAAAAAATAAAAAAAAGAATATTGAGGCTGAAGGGGTGACAAGGACCACAAGAATCTTCCCCTCTTAGAATCTTTCTCCTTCATTTTCTCTCCTAAAGCTTCTGACTCATCCGCCTCTCTTCTATAGCCAGTGATTTGGGCCTAATTGTATACATTTTATCCCCGTTTCTTTTTTACGTTTGTGGCAATTGAGCTCCAAAAAGGGGTGGTTTTACGTTAGGTTTCTTGTGTTTCAATGTGTTTCAGAGTCTAACATGTGAAACCAACCCCGGAGTCGAAAGTTGGAAGAAAGGGAGCAATGACCGGGCAAAGAGGAGGATTCAGCCGATGTTCACGGTCCATCATTGGAGTTCACGGTCGCTAGGACCGTGAATCACGAAGCTTCTAGAGGGGTTTTTGAGGTAACTGACGCCAAGGCAGTTCGCGGTTACTAAGACCGTGAACTGGAACCACAAACCATGAACCCCAGAAGTGAAGTGGTGCGTTTTGGTCCAACTCACTGTGTTCAATGACGCGTTTTGATGTTCATGGCCGTGAACTGAGGTGTAAGACCTTGAACTGATTAACGCGGCCGTGAACTGAGGTCTAAGACCTTGAACTTATCAACGCGGTCGTGAACTGAAGCCTAAAACCTTGAACAGAGCCCGATCTGGGTATAAAAGGAAAAGGGAGCTGAAGGAGAAAGCGGAGTTTTTATAGGGGTTTTAGTTTCGGAATAAAGGAGGGTTTCTAGTGAGATATTAGGGTTTCCTCTTTCTAATCTAGAGAGAGAAAGTGCAATTCAAAGGAGGAGGAAGGAGATTTGAGCTCATTTCAAGCTAGAGGAGTGAAGGTTTCTTATTCTCAAGGGAGATTCAAGCAACAAGGAGGAAAAAATTCATCTCTTCATGGTTCTTTCTCTCATTTTCCTTGTTTTCCTTTTCCTAGCTATGGAATAGCCTACCTATTCACTTGGGTGTTGTGAACCCTAACTACAATTATGTGAATGCTTGTATGAATTGAATGATTTGTGTGTGGTTGTGTTTAATGTGAATGTGGAGGTATTTTTCATGGTGATTGTGTGTTCTATGTTGACCTAGCTTAGAGAGGAGACCTCCTTTGCTTAAGAGGCTTAATTAGAGATGGGTGTTCTTGGGCATTGCATGCCTCCTATGCTAGTTTAGAGAGGAAACCTCCTTTATCCAAAGAGGCTCAATTTGAGTTGGGTTTCCTTGGGCATTCAATGCCTCCTAGACTAGTTTAGAGAGAACCCTCCTTAACCTAAGAGGCTCTATTAGAGATGGGGTTCCTTGGGTATTTCATGCCTCCTATTCTAGGTTAATTAAGGGCAAACCTCCTATTTCGTATTAGCTCATAGGGTTTGGTTCTGGGTGGCCATCCGAACTCCAATTCGAGGGTGAAGTCTAACCATTCCTTAGTCGATAGGTTGAGAGGGTCGCATTAGCAGCTTGGATCATATCCCATTTCCTCAACCTAGAGACTAAGATGGTAGCCTTGGCTACTTGTTAGACTTCCCTACGGTTTATAACCCTCTAACCACACACGGTCGTTCGATTCTTTAAGTCGTAATTGTTAGCTAGGGGGAGCAACACCCAAGTGAACTCTTCTCTCGTTGGGACAACCTCGATTTAATTTACTTGCCTGTTTTTACTTGTAGTTTTCTTAGTTTTAAACCCAAAACCGTTTTGCTAGATAACAACCTAAGCGATAGAAGTAGGGGTACATGGACCGGCTCGGGTTTGACGATTAAATATTTTCCCTATACTGCACCCAGCTAGAGTTTAAAAACTTGGGCTCTAGTCGGGATTAATTCGCAGTGTAGTTCAGAGCGAGTCAAGTTTTTGGCGCCGTTGCCGGGGAACCGCGGTCCATTATTTGGAAAAGGTCGCTTAGTGTTACTCTAGAATTTTCTATCTTGCCTTTTTGTTTGTGTTTTGTGTTTCATGTGTGTTTTGTTTGCCACTCTTCGTCTTGAAGGGTGGTTTGTGTGCGTTTGATTTTGCTTTTTACTGTTTTTGTGTTTGTAGGTATTGGATCATAGATCCTTAGGATTTTGCCCAAGTGTGGGGGTATCCACCAACACCCGAGAGTGGTTACCCAGGAACTTCATGGGACGATCAAGAAGGGGGAAGTTAAGGATTCGGATTCTACTACCAACCTCCCTTCCAAGAAGAGCAACCATGCTCATGGGGATACCAAGAAGCTTCCCCATATCAAGAAGGTTTCCCTCCACAACTCGAGGTGAAATCCAAGTTGGAGTTGGCATGGAGGCATTCATGGGACAAACCTCAAGACCATGTTCCACTCCACAACCAGAGCCAAAGAGCAAATTAGAGCTCATGGTGGAACGATTCGCCCGGGGCACCGATGAAGAGTGCTCTAGCAAGGACCTCCCAATTGCCAACCATTTCGAATCAACCTTTCTTCGGGAATCGGAGGAGCTCCTTCGACACACGGAGAGGCTAGGAGGGCTTGTTGAGCAAGCATGTGCACAACTTGCTCACAATCGCCTCCTACCATTATAAGAAGGAAGGGAGGCCGAAGAGGCAAGCCATGAGAACTTTGGAAGAATGAGCTCCGACATGGATTTCCAACCCCTCCCTACACCCGATTTGACACTTGAAGAGAAGGTGACACGAGCTTGTGCAAGTTATCGTCTCTCATCATTGGTGGAGAAAGAGGAGGTTGAAGGAACGATCAATGACAACCATGTGGAGCAAGACGAACTCACCCCGGAGAGCTCCCATGGTGAGGATGCACAAGAGGGTTGCGTTGATGACTTTCACACCCTTCCCGAGAGCAACTTTGAAGATCAAGTCACGAGTATTGAGGAGCAAGAGAATCCTTTTTATGATCTTGCATGGCATCTTGCCCTCCAAACCGTGCTTGAGTGCATGAATGGGAAGGAGAAGGAAGAGGTTTAAGAGGAGGAAGAAAACATTGAAAAAGGGGAAGATCTTGATTGTTCCCAAAGGGAGGAAAGTGAAGAAGAAGGAAGGGAAGTTGAGGAAGAAGAAGAAGAAGGAACAAGTGGTGTCCAAGATGAGGGCGATGTCAGGGTGGATGAAGCATCCACGAGTTACACATGCTACCAATGCTTTCTACCTTACCTTGACGCGCTTTTGGAGAATGACCCATTTGCGGCTCTTTGCCAAGCCAAGGCCAAACCATCGGAGATCCCTCTTGGTGGATGCGATGGAAGTCAATCAATGATGGACTACATGGTGTGGGGCAAAGAGAAAGAAGAAGAAGAGGTCTCGTGGGTGGAGCCTCATGACAACTCAAGTTCACGAGCCCTCAATCATGGATTCGTCCAAAGCTCGTGACTTGAGACTTCATCTCACCAACGAGAACCTCAACTTCAAGGAGGTTCTTGGGTGGACCGAAACTTGAGGAGCAACCGTCCGGCTCACGACGTTAAAGAAGCACTTGGTGGGAGGCAACCCAACCATCAACTGATTGCATCTTTTTTCCTTTCAATAAGACGACCAATGGAGAGCTTTTGGTGGTGTTTTGTCGTCTCCTTGCTCTTCCGTATCTCACCCGGCCTCCGCTCCCGAACACTAACATTCGCCACTATCCTGTAACATCGTTCTACTTCTCTATTTTACGCCATTGAGGGCAATGTCGAGATTAAGTGTTGGGGGGGGGGGGGGTAGTCCATTATGCATGTGTGTGAATGTTTGGTGTGATTTTGAATGCTTGGAGCCTAGTTGTATGCCCAAATTTTAAAAATTTGAGGGCTCAAATCATAGTAACTTATACATTTGCATGATCATAGCGGCACTTGTGTTGTTTTGTTTTGAATCTTGTGGGTATTAGCAGGACCTATGGATGGTTTGCTTGTGATTATATGCAACCTAAGATGCCGATTGAGACTTGTATTAGGTTTGTGCATAGGTTCATTTCTCATATGTTTGTGAGCCAATAGATGTTTTGAATCGATTACTTGCTTTTCACAGTTGCATATGCATCGAGTTTAGGGAGTTAGAACGAATGATTGAGCTCTTGTGTGATAGATCCTCCTTACATGATGTGTAACATTCACTTTTAGTCAATTCAGATTGCAGGCGGGTTACGTATTGTATTGAACTGACGGTTTACTTAAGTAGGGCATGTTCTGACACCTCTAGTCACCATAAGCTTTATTTCAGAATGTTAAATATAAGATCTTTTCAATAAATAAATAAATCACGGTAATTTATTTGTCGTTCATCTCGAAAGACGAAAGCAATCGCCAATACTCTTGTTGGAAAAATGGAGTCTTTGAAGTTGCTGGAGACAGTGCCATCAATGGTGAAGGATTGGATTACTTATTATCAGTAATGAGTGATGCATGGTTATCCGGTATTTGAGGTCGCTTAATAAAATATTTCGGGGTTTGGTTAGCGGCTATTTAAGAGATCGATTAGTAATGATAATGAGAGTAAAAGTAATGATTGTGAAACCATATTGAGAGTTTGTAGTAAAATTGTGGTTGAACTGTGGTTCAACCATTTCGTACCCCTAAAATCGTTTATAGTTTGAGGTCGGGATTGATATCCAATATTGTTGGTCTGATCGGTAGATTTTCTAAAACAATAATTATTAGTAATGTTTATAAGCATTTGTTAATAACTTTTCCGTGTTAACCTGTAAATTTTATAGGGCAAATTTGTGAACTCTTTTGACTTAAACGATGGCTTCTCCATTAGCTTTATGCTTCCAAGACCTGGATTTCCTAATCGTCACCCATCTTCTTATTCTTTCCTCTCTGCGTAGTATTCTTCAAAGGTAGAGATTTTGTTCAGAGGGCAACAGTCAAAAAAGCGATCGTAAGATTACAAGTTAAAGTGTGGTTCATGATTTGATCTCCATGTGTTATTTACTATACTTGGCCACTGATTCGCAATAATAATAATAATAATAATAATAATAATAATAATAATAATAATAATACGGTACTATTTATTATATAGAAGTGGAGACCACTTTCATGAATCATCATCACTTTCTTCCTTGGCGATTTCTTTTCGTTTTTGAACGAATTTTTCCACTCACATACTTTTGGTCTCCTCAACACAGAATATAATGGCTGTCGCCAGCAGCATCTGTGTCCAACCAAACCTGGATCGCCGGTAAACATAATTACAGGCAGGCGGTTTGAAAGTTGGTAGTTATTGAACAAGTTTATCGGGTATCGGGTATCGCTACTAAACGGTAGGTTGGTTTTAATGTTATGAAATGGTTGAATCTTGATTCTTAGTACAAAATGTCCCACTAACAATTTTTCTCTGAATAACCTCCACTACAATTTTACAATAGTTGATTAATAAATATATTGTTGATGCGGAACGGGATTTCTCGCACCGGTGATCTCGAACGATTTAGCGAAAGAACTAGAAAACACTATAAAAGAGCTACTTTTCTCTACTAACTACTAATACTTTATTCATCGACTTAATAAAACGAAGAGCAAAGGTACATATTTATAGGGCTAATCCTACAAACCCCTTTCCCCTTAAGACAAGGAAACCCAAACCCAAAGCAACAAGTAAACGAATACTTCCTAAACAAGATACATAATAATAATCCTAGACCCAAACTAATACGAATAACCCGAATAATAACTGAATATCCCAACAAATAATAATAATAAAACAACAATAATAATATTAATATTAATGGGCTCGGCCCAAGATGCTGTCACGCATCAATCCTCCCCCCTTTTAAGAACTTCGTCCCCGAAGTTCAGGCGCCATCTCAACCCGGATCGATGAAGAAGAATCGCTCCCATGTGTTGATGACAACAAAGAGAGTGGATGCCTGTCGATCTCGTTTTCTACGCTTCCAATTACGTTCCGGGACTTGAACGAATTCTCCACCATTGCTGTGGATTCCAGCTTCTTTCACCTTCTCACGTATTGCATGGAAGTTCCACTCAACTCCCTCTTTCCAACGCCGTTCACCATGTATCCCTCCAGCCTGCCGACCATGCATGGGGTAAAGAACCATAAATTCTCCCTTCCTACGTACTCCTTGTATGGCATTGTGGGGAGTCAAATAGTCAACCTCCAAGGCTTCTCCCCCAACGGCAACGTACGCTTGGTCGTTGATCATCCCGTAGCCATCATGAATTTCTCGACCCCGTACATCTTCATATCCTCCCGTCAAGTTGTGCATGCTCGGGGAATCACATCCGCGACTAGGCCCCCTCACGATCGTAGGATGCGAGAGCCATGTAACTGAATGTAGGCTCGGCGAGACTTGGACTTGTGACATTGTCCTCATCAGCCTCTCCCTCTCGGCGGGGTTTTCTTCAAAGTCTTGCCTATGGCTTTCATGACTCACCCCGTACAAGAGCCCATGGGTCAGCCCTCCAATACGTAGCCCGAGTCCGTCGAACTTCATTTGATAACGGACCTGCTGTTCGCGGCTCGATCCATCACCGAATGATGGTTCAAACTCATGGCTCATTGAAGTTGCACTCCCGTCGTCGAACCCTTGCTTGCCTCCAGGCGTGAGTGGTCGGCCAGTCCCCTTCCTCACGTCCCACTCCTCCCTGCCATCTTCAAACCCATTGTGCAAAATACCCTTACTTCGCTCATGTTTACCCATCATCTCCCTTATCGGCTTCGGCGCATAATTCACAAGACCATAAATTGAACTAACCACTCCTGTCGTCACCCGCTCCAGTAGTTCGCCGTCCTCCGTTTTGTTAATCAATGGAGGCGCAACCACTATTGTTACGTTGGTGGCCCGTGGCGGTGGAGCATCAAGGGCAAAGGCTTCATCTTCGTCCTGGGCCTTCTCCAACACGACAATGGCTTCCTCTCGCAGCGGCAAGGATTCACGGGTGGCTTTTGCAGCAGCTTTACGTTTCTTCCTCTTCTTCTTGCGATAGAATCGCCTCCCCCTTTTAAGGCGGATGGCTATGCACAGCGCCGGCGAGGTGGGGTCTCGTGGCGTCGCCGTGATTGGTGTTCCCTCAGGCAGCGGCGGTGGTGCGATGATTCTCGTTGACGTCGCGGTTGCTGGCGGGGTGGCGGGGACGACAACATCAACTGCAGGGAAGACTTCTTTCAGCTTCGACTCTAAGGGCTCAGCCGTTTGAAGAATCGGGTGACCTTCTCGATTGCGGCGTCCGGTCCTTCTAGGCGTGACGTCGCTATCTCGTGAACTCTCGGCAGCAGCTGTAGTCTTGTTGTCAGAATTAATGGCTCCTTGCAACGTGACCCAGGAGCCTTTGTATTTGAAACGCATGGTCGCCTTCTTCCAATCGAAAGATATCGGACTTGCTAGCTCAAGCCATTGACAACCAAGAACAACATTGGTTTCACGTAGTGGCAGCTCGTACAAATCAACTTGAAGTTGTATCCCCTGTATTTCAATTGGCACCGCTTCGTAATATCGTTGGCACAATAGGGAATCCCCATTAATTACCTTAACTTCGAAAGGCGCGATTGCTGTAGCTCTCAAGAACAATCTCCCGGCAGCTTCGCGGCTCACAAAATTGTGCGAGGATCCACTATCGACGAGGACGGCAGCTGATTCTTGATGGATGGTGGTGTCGAAGCGGATGATCGTCGGCTTGAAAACGCCGGTGAGAGCGGATAGCGAGATCTCTGCTGCGGCCAGAATAGGTGATTTATCCGGCGGCTCGTCAATCTCGATCGGCGGTTCTCCATCGACAAGTTGTAGAACTTCATCCTGCGGCAATCTTCTGCATCCTTTGAATCGCCTTTGGATGATGTCCAACATCACGTCGGTTTCCGTCAAGCGTGCCCTGTATGCGAGCGTCGTCGAGCTCGGTTCGTCGGAACGTCTCTTCATTCCTTCGCTTGGCAGGAATGGCCGATCCTCTCTCAACGGTTGCTGGACAAGAGCAGTTGATGAAGCGTGCCCTGGGAGCGATTTCGAGCTCGGTTCTGTCGAACCAGGCTCTGATACCAATTGATGCGGAACGGGATTTCTCGCACCGGTGATCTCGAACGATTTAGCGAAAGAACTAGAAAACACTATAAAAGAGCTACTTTTCTCTACTAACTACTAATACTTTATTCATCGACTTAATAAAACGAAGAGCAAAGGTACATATTTATAGGGCTAATCCTACAAACCCCTTTCCCCTTAAGACAAGGAAACCCAAACCCAAAGCAACAAGTAAACGAATACTTCCTAAACAAGATACATAATAATAATCCTAGACCCAAACTAATACGAATAACCCGAATAATAACTGAATATCCCAACAAATAATAATAATAAAACAACAATAATAATATTAATATTAATGGGCTCGGCCCAAGATGCTGTCACGCATCAATTGTTCTAAGTCCTAACATTACTACCATAACAAACCCTTTAATGTTTTCAATGGAGAATGAAAAGGCTCAAAGAAAATTAAATACTTAGAATAGAGAAAGAAATTATTGTTAGCCCGTCAGTCCATCACTCATTGGGGAGTCGTTGAGAAAATTGTTTAAGCTGCTCCTCCTCTCACACAAAATCGAGTAGCCCTAGATAAACTAATAAAGCAAAGTGGGCAAGAGAGAATAAAAAGTAGTAGTAAAACAGAGTTGGTAGTCAGATACATCAGAATGTCAAGAACCAGTTGATCCCAATAATTCGAGTTGTTGGGAGAGGTTCAATCGTGGATCATATACCACAACACTAACACGTCCCCTCAAACGAAAGCCACTCACAAGGGCTTGAAATTTGCACAGGTCTGAAGACAAGAATACCATGTGCTTAACAAATGGGGGTCACCGGGAATCAAACACAAGACCTCTCGGTCACAGAAGGCTCTGATACCATGTCAAGAACCAGTTGATCACAATAACTCGAGTTGTTGGGAGAGGTTCAATCGTGAATCATATACCACAACACTAACACAGAATTCGTCCCCTTGGATCAAAATGCCTTTCTCCAACCCTCGTTTCCACGTCCAACACAGACCTAAAATCATTGGTATATTCATCTCATTACATGATTCTCATTATTCAATGTTCTCAAAGATACTGCAAAAACAAGTGTCCCCCAAACAAAATCCCGCTTGGATTCATTGGGGATGCACTTCAAGACTTCCACAAAACAGCAACTACATGGCACATCAAATTATAGAGCCAAAAACAATGCAGAGTGACGAGAGAGGGCTTTTCAAAGCCACTTCTCCAACCCATCTGCTGAAAGTTCTCGAAAACATCAGCATGCTGCCGCAAAACTCGCATTGTCTGCTAAAAAATTCGCGACGGTAAGATTGAGATGCTTACTGATCACCCACTGCTGGAAAAACAGAATCTTGTTCTGAAACACAAATATAGATTATGTTTATGTATACTTTCTAGAAAAGATTTCCATGGAAGCTCGACTTAGGAGAGCAGTTACGTGAGGAGTTATCATCAAGTCTGTCGCTATCATCCTCGCCAAGAATTTCCTCCGAACGGCAATCAAAACTGCAAAATGCTTTATCACCTCTGCAATATACCAAATTTATACAACAAAATGTTAGTCTTTGAGACAACAATTCTATCAAGCAACAAGTTAGTTAGCTGAACAAATTTACCTGTACATATAGATGTGATCTCCATTGTCCAGCTTTTTCTTGCACGAGTAACAGCAACTCAAAAACTCTTCAGAGGGTGAACCTTCCTCAGGGCACTTAGCCTCTTCAGGAGGCATTTCAAACCCAATAGTAGTCTTACTCTGGTCAAAATTGGTCAACTCACTACTAGCGTGACATGGTAAAATGCAGTCACCAAAGATATGAGTTGTTTTAGGGCATGGACCATGGGAAATTATACAAGTATAGTCTTCAGAAAGCTCAATCTCATGCGAACTGATCGGTATTGGTATAGAACTTGGCTTGATGTCCAATGAATGGTGCTTCTTCAAACTTTTGCTCACAACCACTGGCAAACTTGGTATAGAACTGGACCTAGTTGCTGACAGACATGCTTTTCTCAAACCAAAACTCGGTATTCTTGTCAAGCTACTTAGAGAAGAAGGCTCATCAAATTCCATAGGCTCTAATGGGACCACTTCCTCTTCCCCAGTTTGAGATGGTAGTGAGATAACGTAGTTTTTAGGCAAAGAAATGGATCTCAAGGAATCATCACCAATTTTGATCTGTGATCCAAAGATCACATTCTTCCTCTTAGGGGATTTAAGAACTTCGCCATTTTGTTGGGTTTCGTCTAAGAGCAACCTGACAAGGCCAAGGCCTACTTTACGGCCATCCCATTGTGTTTTGTGTTCAACCTTTGAAGTCTTTGGGGACTTAAGGCTAAAGGAGTTGCTAAGATTTGATAAGAAACTGAAATCAAGAGGAGATGTCGGGCTTCTAGCAGAGTCAGATTCTGATAAGCCTTTCAAACTAAACCCTATACAGAAACTGGGAAGGTTGAAGAACGAACTGCTTGTTTTGAGGTCCGGAACATACGATTGGAAGTGAGACCCTGAATCAGAATCAGCCATTAGTATTGTATATGCATACCCGTTTATATGGAGATCTGTTCTCCTAATGAATATGGGTAAGAGCTCCTCTATGCCATCCCAACACAATACCAGCCACCTCCACTGCAGTAGTTAAATGTGAATCATACATAAATATGAAATTCCAATCATCAAAAGCAATATCAAGCCCCTAAAATGTAAACATGAATCATCTAGCAATGAAACATTGAAGGACGAGAGGAAGAGCAAAATATCATTACAAAGCTGTCTTAGCCTTCAACGAAGCATATGGATATCCTCTCAGAAAAGAGTTGACAGATTATTTCATTGAGCAAATACACAATCACTTCACTATTCAGGATAGCCCAAGTGATTCCACAAGACCAGTAAGCTAAAAGCGAAGATTCTCTAATCCCTCCTCCTGAATACACACTCTCCCCAGACAAAGAAAATCTCTATTCCCCAAACACTATAATATCTTTCAATCCGCATGACCACAACATTATAATCTGCAATTGCTGAAGTATGAATCCCAGCTTCTGAGAATCAAGGTACTATATACTAGAGCTAGGAAGGTAATAGTAAACAGTGATCATATATTGCAAAGTCAAACACCATGTATACAGGCATAGAAGTTCGAGCAAACGAAAAGAAGACGAAGAAGCAGAAGCAGAATCAAAGACCAACCACCACAAAGATTGGGCGACTAGAGCAAACTCACACACAAACCAAGTGGGCATCAAAGCTCTACAACGGAGGGAGGAACTCTAACAAGAACGCCTGATGACAATCTGCCAGGGCCCAGAAGTATCCATCAAATCAGCAACGGATCAATGTTTTCAACTAACAGATTCACAGGGAGAATCGAACAGCCAGCTGAAAGAACACTGAAGTAAACCGACAAAAACGATGCAAAAGCAAAGCTACAGTCCAATCTAAACCCAAAGAGACAAACATTACATATATCGAAGAAGGAATACATGCTAGAAATGAACGGAACCCAGAAAGCAAAATCAAGTGAAGGAGTGGGATGGAGTGTAGTCAGAAACCCACCTGGGTTTCCGGCCAGAAACTTGAAACTAGTAGGGAGCAAAGAGTGCTAGCTGAAGACAGATTCTTTGAGAGAAACGAAGAGCCTTATTATAGCCATTATCAAAAGCACAGCTCTTTCATTTCTGTCTTCCTCCATGATTTTTTTTCTCCATTTCAGGTTCTTCCAATTGGATCAAAACTGAGAGAAGGGGTGAGACCGTGAGAGCCACTAAAAACTAAACCTAAAAAGGCTTCTGATATACTCTCACTCATGATTAGCAACAAAAATACGTATGGCGGTCAGAGAATCGTATTAGACTACGCATATTTTCCTGGATATATATTTTTATTATTTTGTTTGTTTTGGAGTTTAGTGGAAATTGTCACACCAATACCTAATATTTCCAAAATTTTTATCTCGATAAGTTGCAAACTTTATTATGCATGTAATATAGCAATTGCAGCACCAAACTCAGGCCTATTAATGCCCTGAAGGAAAACATCAGATCTAAAGCTATCAATAAGCTTCTCTGCAGAAGCCAAATCACCTCCAAAAATTCTGCAACACCTTTCTCGTCAAATTGCAGCTAGTAACCAGCACCAACAAAAGCCGATAATAGGCCCCTGGGTATTCGCCTTCAACAGGTTAACAACAACATCAAACCAAGACTCCCAACTATTATTAGCAGGCATATGAAAACCCTGCAAAACCACTTCCGCCACTTTCCTCGTATACTCACAGTCAAAAAACAAATGGCCTCAAGATTCAGGTCCCCTGGAACAGAGTACATAGTTAGGATCCACGGACATACCCCATCGAATTAACTTGTCTCGAGTAACAATTCTATCTTTGATGATGAGCCAGGTAAGAAACCTGTTGCTAGGAATAGAAAACTTCGCCCACAAAAGGCGCCACCAAGCTACAGTAGGTTTCTTACTTCGCAAGGAATTCCATACCACTGTAATTTTATACTTCACCAACAACTTACCCTCCCAGGACACTTTACCTCTTGCCTCTTCCATCAATATGTAATAGAACCAAGATCTAATTCTGAGTACCTTCTTCCAAATCCAAGAGCCACTTTGTGTTTCCTTCAAATCCCAGAATCGTTTCCCTTTAATTTTGTACTTATAAGCCCATGCAACCCAGAATGACCCACCTTGCATTAAGAGAAGCCAAATTAGCTTTCCTGCAGATGCAACATTCCAAACAGTAAGGTCTTTGAGCCCCAATCCACCTTCCTTTTTTGGGATAGTAAGCAAGTTCCAATCCACCTTAGCCCTGCCTGATTCGTTACCATGCCACAGAAAGTCTGAACTTGCTTTATGACTTTCTTAGGCAAAATGAAGATACCTAGCCAATATTGCAGTACTAGATAGATTACTGAAGAAATTAGCTCAAGTCTGCCAGCATAAGTGAGTTTACTAGATGTCCAGGAGCGGATTTTACTAACAATCTTATCAATCAGCATATCACATTCTCTCACATAAAGTTTTCCAGCTACCAGAGGTAGCCCTAAGTATCGAACAGGGAGAGCCCCTTCCTGAAAACCAGTCAAATCCAAAGAAATATATCTAGCTGCTCTAGGGGTACCACCAAAATAAACTGCACATTTATCTGGGTTACATTTGAGTCTTGAAACTGAGTAAAACTTATCCAAGACCCGCCTGACACAGGTAAGAGCCCACCCTGAACCTTCTGTAAAAATAAGCAAGTCATCCGCAAAGCATAGGTGAGTCAACCCTATGGATTTGCATTGCGGATGAAAAGGTAGTTGATTGACAAGAGCTGCCTTATTCAACATGAGAGAGAGAATTTCAAAAACTAAGGTGAAGAGATATGGCGACAGTGGGTCTCCTTGCCTCTCCCCTTTACAAGCTGGAAAGAATCCACATAAGCCCCCATTTATACTCACACTAAAGAATGCAGATGATAGACAGGCTTTGATCCATTTAATGAATAACTGTGGAAACTACATAGCTTCCATGACTTGAAATAAAAACTCCCAATGCACTGAGTCAAAGGCTTTCATAAGATCAACCTTGATTGCACATCGAGAACTAAGATTCTTATGCCTATACTTAGAAACTGTTTCCTGCGCCATCAAGATGTTCTCAGTGATGTTCCTTCCTTTAATTAAAGCTGACTGATTTCTACTTATGAGACTAGGGAGAACTGATTGCAATCTATTAGCTAGCACCTTGGAAATGACCTTGTATACCACATTAATACACGCAATTGGCCTGTACTCAATCATTTTACATGCATTCTGAACCTTAGGAACTAAAGTGAGAGAAGCAGAGTTCAAACCTTTTGGTAAAGTTCCTTTGGCAAAGAATTCCATAACTCCTGCTATTAGATCTTCCCCAACTACACTCCAAGTCTTTTGATAGAACCCTGGGGTCCAACCATCAGTGCCTGGAGCCTTGTCTGATTTAATAGAGAAAAGAGCATTCCTTATCTCATCAGCAGTAACCTGAGAACATAAAGCAGTCCCCTCATCAACATATACCTTCTTGACAATTAAAGCAGCTAGCAGAGGTGGATCAGGATAAATCTCCCCATTAACAACGCCATATAACTTCTTATAAAATGAAACAACTTCATCAACAATTCCTTCAGGGTTGTCAAGAACTTCACTAGAGTCTAGAGTCAATTGGTTGATCATCTTCCGGGCATGTCTCACCTTCATAGCAGATGGAAGTATCCTGTATTAGAATCACCTAACGTAAGCCATTGTACTCTTGATTTCTGTCTATAGAAACTTTCCTCTACTTTCTTCAACTGATTTAGGGTTTTTGCTAGATTCTGCTCCACAATGAAATTGCTATCAGAAGGACGCTGGAGAGAATCCATTTGAGCACATTTATATAGCTCCTTAGCCTCCCTTACTTTACCACTTATATCTGCATAATAGTCCTTATTCAATATCTTTAACTCTGCCTTTGCAGACAGCTGCTTCATCCTCAGACAATATAACTTCGATCCCTGCTCAAAAGTAACCCAAGCTTTCTTCATAATATCCAGATACGAGGGATGATCTAACCACATGTCAAAGAACCGGAACGATTTAGGGAAAGACTTTGCTGGCAGAGTGGGTTTAATAAGCAGACCACAATGATCATAAATGTATGGGGAAAAAACTCCACCACACAGGAACAGAAAGACGAATACCAGTCAGAGTTAACCAATACTCTATCTAACTTTCTTGCTATGGGGTTGGTTGCCTGCCTATTAGTCCAAGAAAACCAAGGACCAGAAAATCTGTGATCATCTAACTCCATACTACCCACCCAGCTATGAAAAGCCACCATACTTGAGTTAATAGGAACCTCATTAGAAGCTTCATCAGGATTCAAAATGGTGTTGAAGTCTCCAGCTACCACCCAGGGAAAACCTCTTACAAAAGGGCTAAGGGCTAAGTACATTGCTGCTCTATCTGCTTCTTCATTAGAACCATATATTGCAGTGAAAAAGAAACTGATACCATTTTGTGCTCTGACTAACATATGCATATAATCAGTACTATTACTAATCTTGACTACATGCAACCCTTTCTTCCAGAAAAACCAAATCCTGCCCAGAGCGGCATGATTATAGTTGGGTTTAACCTCATAATCAACAAACTTTCACAATGATTTCATCTGACTTACTAGCTTGTACACGAGTCTCTAATATTGCACCTACCTCCACCTTATATCTACCTAGATAATCAAGCACAGAAGTGTGCTTGGAGGGGTTATTGAACCCCCTCGAGTTCCAAACAAGACAATTCGTCCAGTAGGTTGGGGTGCATTACCCATACCCTTACCACCCTTGCCATTACCCTTTCCTTTCTTTGGGGCCTGCAGAATCACATCTCTTTCTTTTACAGCATATAAGAAATCTAATGGAGGAATAGTCTGAAGATCCTTCCAAACCTTCATTTTAGACCCTTTGTCCATCGGAGGAGCTTCCTGTGGAGAAGCAACAGACGGAGAAGATGAGCTTGCCACATCAACTAAGAATGATGTTGGGGAAGGAGGCACGAAAACCTCTTTGCCCCGCTGATCTGCAGCCTCAGTTTCTATAACTACTGCTACTGGGATTTCAACAACATTGAGATCCTTCTTCTGCCAGACCTTTTTCACTTTCCTACATGAACAACACAATCATGCCCAAACACTGCACATTTCTTACACCGTACAGGAAGATGGCAGTATTCAAGCTTGATAGTGTAAACCTTACCTCCCCCCACACCAAATCTCACTTGATCAATCAGCTTTGCCAAAGCCTCAACCTCCACACTGATTTTAGCATACCCTAACTTTAATCCCTTGCGTGTAGGCTGATCCATACAAAGTGGTTTACCAATAAGACTTGCTAATCTCCCCATACCATCTTTCGACAAAAGCTCTAACGGGAAATCAATCAACTTCACCCAAATAGGCAGAGCCTTATTATCAAGTTCAAGTGCTCGGGTGAGATTTGCTGTGGGACACCATCCACAAGAACAAGCACGACGTACTCTAAGCGATTATCCTCCGCGATTTCAAAGAGAGAGGTCCAAGGGCGGCCGTCGACGATGGAGCCTTGGGTGGCCTCGCCGACGACGACACCCATCGCAAGATCGAGCGATCGACTCAGAGCCTCTTCCAATATTACCCTCAATTAGTACCATTATTAATTAAGCTTTAACTAATCAAACGGAGCAATAATAGTGATTACTCCTTCCTCTCGGTTACCGCACCTCCTCCATCTCTTTTCATGTGTACTATGAATTTGAAAAATGAGTATTTTGGTAAATATGAATATATGGTGGATTTTGTGGCATTCTTGATTTAAACAAGTCTATTGTTTATTTTCTGTATTTGATTATGAATTTTGCTTGATTAAATTTGTTAATATGAAATACAAATTACCTTGTTATCCTTATCAAATTATATTACTATATTTTATTAAAAACAAATCCAATACATACAAAGAAATTTTAAAATCTTTACCACTTTGTGGACTAATAATTCAACTACAAATATAGAAATGTATTACAATTTGGAACTAATTAACAATTCATCTAATAATGTATGCAATATTATGTATCAGTTGCAATTAGTTGCTCGCCTTATTGTTAGAACTCATCATCTTCTTGCTAATTTCTTCATTTTGGAATCCGACAATCAATGAAATAATAATGCACAAGATGGGCATAACGTGTTTATAGTTGAATCTAACAAATCACATATATATTCATATATAAATAAAGGTGGCTACTTCGGTGCACTCACTTTTTTGGGCGCACTCAGTGCACCCAACTCTAAAAGCGTTCATAATACATCAAATTTTGAACTTTAATTAGTACTCTCAATATAATATGATGATATAACATAGAATCATAACAAATCAATCCATTACCCTAACCCCTTAACCTTCAATTTTGAATCCCAACCCAAAATCCCAAATTGTAAACCTAAACCCTAACCCTAAATCCTTAAATCCAAAATCCTTCAAATTAAAGTAAATTTTGAATGAATTTTTTTAAAATTCATGTGCTTCTTGTTCATAATATCATAAGCAACAATTGATACCGTTTTGACATGAATCGCATGGTCAGAATGACAATTATGAGGCGGGTGCACCCGAAAAAGTGGGTGCACCGAATACGCCACCATAAATAATATACGATATTACCAACAATATGATAAATTCTCATATTTATAAAATACAATATTATAAAAGTTTACAGTTGCATTACCATTAAAATAAAATAGGACAAATTTGTAATTAAAAAAAAGTAAGAGTAGAAGGGTAACCAACCATCATGGATTTTAATCCATCACTCAAATCCCACCTCAAAATGTGGAACTTTCAAGTCCGTGGGAGTGGGATCCACGAATTTGAACCTCCAAAGCCCGTGGGCCCCACAGATTCCATCTTCCTAATTTCCTAAGGCAAACGAATTTCGGTTGAAGTCCATGATGGATGGATTTCCAAGACCAAAACCCTCAAGCAAACGAGCCGCTAAGTTTTTAGATTTATATAAAGCTAAACCTATTAGCAAAAAAATCAAAAGACACTAAAAACTACACTCGGTTTGTAGTAATTAGTCGCAGCCGCCAATAACCCTCGCTTCCACTTTTTCAGGCTAGAACCAGGCCTTTTGATTTCCATCTTCTCCCTGCACACCACCACCGTACCTCCCCAAATCCAAAACCAACGCAATGTGATCTACCATAGCACGCTCGTAATAGCCAACGGAAGAAGCGGCCGGCTAACCAGAACGAAGGACCGCACCTGTCATGAGCCACTCCTAAATCCCCACAACTCTGATCCATTTTTGGAGCTCTAATAGCAACGACAAGGTTGCGGAGGACTCAAACGAACATCAATCAGGAAATCGACGTCTATAATCCTTTCTCATGTCCTAGAGACGCATTAGAGGTAAGGGATCTATCCTCGTCCATTTAATTGCATAATCAGTTGATATTGGATACTGTGTTAGCTTGCAGTAGGTCATTAATTAGAGTAATGAGCTATGAATCCTTAGATATATATGGACGAATGTAATGGAACTGTATGGCGATGAATTATTAACCCAAGGAAGCTCGGTTACCGATTATAAGCAGAAGCCCTTCACAATTTAGTTACATGCATGGAATGCATGGTAGTTTAATTACTATTGGGGGTGAATTGATGAAATCAAAAAATGGGTTATTAATGTAGAGAAAGTATATGGGCATAAAATCAAGTGAGCTGGACGTGTTCTATCCCTAGGGGAAGTAAAGGAAAAATGAAAACAGTGTATGGACATCGTACAAGGCCTAGAAGGACGTTTGGCATCATCGGTGCAGGATATAAGTTGATAATAGACTTTAAATTAAGGTGCGTGGTTAAATGGGACTATTGTAGTTTTTGTTATCGGTCTATGCATTTAAGTTCATGTTATACATTCTAGTTCTTGTTTTATGTTTCAATTATTCTGTTGATATGACTTGAATCGGACTATCAGCCGCTACAACTGGTAATCGGGGGTCTCGCTGCCCGGTCAGCGAGTGGGGTCCGGGGGCGTTCGGGGTCCAGGGGCAACGCCCCCGGCCCACGGTGTATGGACTCAATGTTATTTGGGTTCGGGTTCTGGGCCTGGTCTGTAACCGTTTCCTTTGCCAGATTAGATTGGGTTTAGACCCACATGGAGAAGTACTATAAATACTTCTCATACTCCTCTGTAATCTGTAATCTCCTCGATATAGTGAAACTGGCTCTCTCTCGCCCGTGGACTAGCTAACACACATCGTGTTAGTGAACCACGTAAATCGTGTGTCTGTGTTTTTCGATTCTCGCTTTCGTATTCTTACTTTGTCGATTCCGGCGATTTCCCGATCCGTAGCAGCGCGTTTATAACAAGTGGTATTAGAGCCGCGGCTGGAAATCGGGCTAGGGTTTTCGATTCAGAAGAATGACGTCGGTGAACATGAAAATCGAAAAGTTCACGGGGAAGAACAGCTTCGCTATATGGCAGATCATGTAACACCCAACTACTTTTCTCCATTTAAAACCCATAAAAATGTATGCACATCGTCAACTATTTACCAAAATCCTCAAACTCTTGGTTCATTTTCTTTTTCCTGGGAAAACCCCATCTTCAAATTTCCCGTAGAAAACATTGTGGAGAGTTCAGTCTTCCGCCCACCTAATCGATGTCAAACTCGAACTTGCTTCGTCCCATGGCCTTCACCAATTTTAGCTATTCATCTGGGAAAAATATTGACGGGGTGAGACGTCACTCAATGAGTAAATAATAACCTAATATAAATATTAATACGAAAATAATATCAGGCTATGTTGTGACTCGGAGTGTCTTCCATCCATTATACTTGATGTATATCTAATCACTTAATAACTTTACTTAGGCCTCACCTATGTAGATTCATACAAAATTTCTTTCCTCGTTCACTCGATCTATCACATATACGTTATGGGTCATTCATATATGCCATATATCCTTCATTTAAGGTTTCTCCTTTACTTTACCCTACCTGGTGTTTCATATGGTTTGTATTTATTCTTATATCCCATACGAAATTTTCCTTCACCTTTTACACTTCTATCAACACGTACAACATCAAGGGATGTATTGTAGACACATAACATTATATACATCGATATCTCATGGCACTACCATAATAAAAGTAGTATATCATTACTACTTATGTCACAGTTTCCTGATCAATCGTTGTACTACTCATCATAGGAGATCATCATAACATGTACCTCATATCACATGATATGACATATAAAACACATCAACCTTCACATACCACATGTAAGGATTCACATTCTATACCTCAAATATGGCAAATACTAAGATTTCCACCTCAATCATATATCACACAAAGATGGCAAATATCAAGCTTGGCATTCACATACTCATGTTGCACCCAAAATCAACAATGAATCAGCATCCAATCGCACACATACATATAGTTAGCTGGATTCAGTAGCTTTTATTCTTTAATTTTCCAAGTCATGCACTCCCCGGGATCTCGTGAACTCGTAACTCGTAGGCACAAAGTGCCAGATCTCATATACTCGTGAACTCGTGGGCACAGAGTGCCATATCTCATGAACTCGTAAACTCGTGGGGCATAGAGTGCCATATCTCATAAACTCGTAGCCAGGCCTGGCATTGCTCCTTAAAAGGAGTTCTCGTATAACTCTTTTATCTTTTAGGCTTGAAGCCTCTTTTCACTTATACTGAGTGCATGACAGGGCGCCATTACGTTTGCTTTAGGTGACCATGCAATTCTTATAGTTAGTCATAACTCACATATCACTTGTGTGACCCAAGGGCCATTTCATATCACATTCACTTGCATGACTAATAGACCATTTTATCTCATCTCGTATAGTTGACAAAAGACAACCTTTCTTGCCATTCTTTTCACTTAACTGCCTTGAATACCATTTCACATTTCATATACTCATCACATAGTATAGTTTAGCACACACATAACATGTAATATGACCTTTTGGTCATTTCATCATACAATCATTTCATCACATTATCATATAGTTACCATAATACGATAACATCATCCAATCATGGGATCATTTCATCTCGTTCAATCATGTAACCATGCCACATATTGACATTCAATCACAATTGGTTTAAGTCTTACCAAGCCATCATACACGTTGTACTTGGGCCGCTTCATGACCCGAATACCATAATCATATTAAGATAAACATTAGGTTAGAATTTACTCACAGTATTGTCGTTAATCCGATATTCCCTTGCCCTTTTGATGATTATTTCCCCGACTTGCTCTTTGCCTTTAACAAATACAGTTAAGCACGTTTAATATGCTAGCAGCTGACCCATGGTCGATAATCCAAACACTAAAAGACAATTATATTATGTTGAATTTTAATATGCTAGCAGCTGACCCATGGTCGATAATCCAAACACTAAAAGACAATTATATTATGTTGAATTAAGAGAGCTAGCATGTCGAGATTACAATAAGGTTAAATTTGCCCACATATATCCGAAACACGTTACTAATTTGAAACTCCAAAAGTTTCTTTACAACCCATTAATTAAGGATCCGCTCATGCATCACAATTCCATATAATAATTAACCCATGCTCCACTGATAGTCTACATATAGTCATATATAATGGAGCAAGTCAGACCCCGGTCAACACATATTAAAGGGTTTATGGGTCATCATCAACTAAAACCCACGATATGAAGATTTCCTCCTCTCTTTGTTGGTTCAACCAAATCTAGTCATAACTAGAGTGTCTTTATTTCTAATCCTTCTAATTCCTTCTCCACCCATTCTCATTAATCTCCACGGTTCTTTCACTAAAACATCATTATATTACCCATATTATATACACTAGCTTTTTGGCCCGCGCTTCGCATCAATAATTAATTAATTATTTTTTGGGTTATAAAACTATCTATAAAATAGTTCGATTAATACACTTTTATAAATTTATATAGTGTCTTAATTGTTACCAAAGGCTTACGTAACATGGTTATTTGACTAATATGTAAGAAACAACTATCCATTCAACCTTCATATCTCATATTTGATTATCTTAGGGAAGCTTTAATTTGCGTAAAGCAAATTGATAAGTTGTTGAAGGTAGTAGGCAGTGCTGTCAAAGCCGAACCGAGCCGGCCGGCCGGACCGTCAAAGCCACCACCCGGCCATAAAATCGGCTCGGATCAGCTATTTAACCGCCACGGTTTTATACAACGGCCGGCGAGCGACCGAAGCGGTTAACCGCTCGAGCCGCTCAAGTCGGTCGTGCGGTTCGGCCGTTTGGTTTACCCTTAAAAAAATAGAAAAGGAATCGTGGAATTGGGCAGCCAAACAAAACCCTAACTTTCCTTTTATTTCTCCATCTTCGACCTAGAAGTAGAAGTGTAGAACAGACGACAGAGGGAGAGCGGCGCCACCCTGCCGCCGTCAACCATCACCCCAGGCGCCCAGCGCTTCCGTCCCGTCGCCGCAAGCAGCGCGCCATCGCTAGTCGCCATCGTCGCTTCTGCTCCCCGCTCCTGGCACAAGCAGCTCGCAATCGCCGCAAGCAGCGCCATCGCCAGTCGCCATCGTTGCTTCTGCTCCCCTCCGTCGTCGCAAGCAGCCCCCTGCAGCCTTGCTCCTGCCGCAACATCTCCCCCAACCATTGCCCTGCTCCAGACATCTCACCTCCACAGTCCGCAACATCTCCCACCAGCCGACTCACCTCCTGCTCGAGGTAAGTTAATTTTGTTAAACCTAATTGATGCAAATTTCTGGTTGATTGTAATGTTAATTTGCATGATTAAGAAGTGTCTACTATTACAGATGCCTGTTTATTAGGTACCGGTTCTCAAACGGTTTTTAAACGGTCTAATGTCGGCTGGATCACTAATGACCGAGCCGTTCACGTTACCGGGTCATACTCCGGCTCGGCTTTGACAGCATTGGTAGTAGGTAATAATAATAATAAAATAATTTTAGTTAATAATAAGTGAATTAAGTTATGAAAATGCATTTGATGAAGCTTTTAAGTAAAACTAATTGACCTTAGAAAATATTTATTCAATACAAAGTGATGAGATCGTCAACGGTTTAGTTAAATTTATGAATTTCCATTCAAACTTATATCATGAAAGACATGCATAATATGTTTGTTTAATTGATAAATAAGAAATTATTATTCCTCAATAAAGGTTACGTATTGTCTTAGTCATTATAAAAGCCTTGTGTGTATATTTTTTTAATGGATACATAAGGAATAACTAACCCTATGTAAGATTTACGTAATTGTTATAGAATGATCTTACATTCTTTCGTAACATGTGATCTAATATTTAAATCAAGTTACAGATGAGTCTCACATTTGATTAAACTATGATGTAAGATTAACTTATCTTACTGAAACTTTAATCAGCATAAAGCAAATTGATGAGACGTTGAATATAGTAGGTAATAATAAAATAATGTAGTTAATAATAAGGGCATGGAGTGATGAAAAGTACATTTGATGAAACTGTTATGTAAAAATAACTAACCTTCCAAATTCTTTGCATAATGCAAATTGATTAGATCATCAATAATTTAGTTAAATTTAGGAATTTTCATTCAAACTTATATCACGAAAGACTTACATTATATGTTGGTTTAATTGATACATAAGGACTACCCTCTGTAAGATTTACGTAATCTATTTATAATGTATGTAATTGTCATCAAATGGTTATACGTAAATCTTTTGCAGTGTGCGGTCTGATAATAAATCAAGTTATAGAAAATATTACATCTGATTAAACTACAATGTCATCAAATGGTTATACGTAAATCTTTCGCAGTGTGCGATCTGATAATAAAATCAAGTTATAGAAAATATTACATGTGATTAAACTACAATGAAAAAATTAACTTACCTTACAAAAAGTTTGTGGAGAAATTTTACAATGCTATATAGTGTTGGTACTATAGGTTTTTGCCTTAATGGTACAACTTAAAATTGTACATTTACGTTATGGTACAACTTCATATCGTACCTATACTTTTTGTACAAATTCTTTTATGGTACAACTTGAACTTGTACCTTTATGTGATGATGCAACTTCTAGTTGCAAAGTTGTATCATAACATAATGGTACAAATTGCTTTATGGTACAACTTAAACTTATACATTTAATGTTATGGTACAATTTTGAGTTGTAATTTGATGATATGAAAAAGTTAACTTACCTTACAAAATTGATAATTTGATGAAAATTGAAAAGAGTAATTCAACCAAAAAAAAAAAAAAAACTTCTCTCAATTCTCTATAGCAATTACGGATTTGGACTAAAGGGAAATCATACTCTAGGAGAGGCTTCTTTTTATTTCTCTTATTTGCATAAGTTAAAATGGAATATTGATGGAGAGAGGGCAGACGAATTGGTGGGTTCGGGGGATGGTTAAATTCAAAGGTCTATTTCTTGGGTTGTCGGTCGGACGAAATTTAAGCATATAATTACTTGGTTTGCCGCGCGCGGGTTAATGGGAGATAACATGGGTCTGCTGCATGGGAAAATCACCCCGGATGAACAGTGATCCGGAAAACTCTTCTTAATTACGCAGTGGTTAGTGTTTTTATTTATTTATTTCTAATTATTAAACCTGTGGTGGTTAGCGTTTTTTTCGTAAGGAACAGTGTTCCTGTTTTTGGTTACTTACGTTTTAATATTTCTAATTTCTCTTATTTGCATAAGTTAAAATGGAATATTGATGGAGAGAGGGCAGACGAATTGGTGGGTTCGGGGGATGGTTAAATTCAAAGGTCTATTTCTTGGGTTGTCGGTCGGACGAAATTTAAGCATATAATTACTTGGTTTGCCGCGCGCGGGTTAATGGGAGATAACATGGGTCTGCTGCATGGGAAAATCACCCCGGATGAACAGTGATCCGGAAAACTCTTCTTAATTACGCAGTGGTTAGTGTTTTTATTTATTTATTTCTAATTATTAAACCTGTGGTGGTTAGCGTTTTTTTTTCGTAAGGAACAGTGTTCCTGTTTTTGGTTACTTACGTTTTAATATTTCTAATAATAATATCCTATAAAGAATGCATGAGTTAAAAGCATGCGCATACATCCATGTATGCCCACAATTTTAGCTATTAAGTTGAAATCATGCAGCGTCGTGAATGGATGCCACCCCCTGTTCGCATCTAACGGAATCAACATCGTCAAGCTTTCACCACACAAGACTTGGCGGAACCTGTTACACATCAACTTGCTATGACCGCCAGCCAGCGGCGGATCTAGGGGGGGCCGCCCCCGGGCCGCGGCCCAGCCCTCCCTCGATCCAGAGCTAGTATAGCACGTGTAAATTTTCGATTTTTGGTGTTCGTTTAGGTGTTCGTTTCAGTGTTCGTCGTGTTACGGCCCAGCCTTCTCTGTTTTTTTCCAATGTGGCCCAGTGCTCTACCCAATCCTGGATCCGCCGCTGCCGCCAGCTTACTACTCCTCTCTTCCATTTTATTTACACACCTCACGAAGGAGAAAGAAAAGCTTACCTTGTGTAATCAGTATTCGCTTGTTTCACCCCACAACTCACAGCTCCCATCTACGGTGGAAGATGATCTTCTAGGGTGATGAGGAAAATGGAAGGTGGCGGTGGAGAGGGATGATATCAAAAGTCTCTCTCCAAGGAAAGAACCCATAAGGAAGAAAAGTAATGAAATCCTATCTCTATTGCCTCCCAGCCATCCATTCCTTTCCTGGCCATGAATTTGGTCTTGCCACCTGTGAGACACACGCCAAGTTTGGGGAGCACACAAAAAAAAGTTGGAAATGGTGCATTCTGCATGCATCAGAGGAGTAAAGAGGCTTTGGTCTTGGTGGAGACAATGTCATTTATTTTCCATGTCAACTCTTACCCATATTTTCCTTCGGTTAAGGGGTGAATGGGAGTTTAATTTGGCTTTGCTTCATTGCTAACAGAAACACACATGAGATGTGGGAGACCACTAGTTATTTAATCTGTCATTTTTAATAAGATAAGTACAATGGCAATTTAAGTAATTAAGAATATGTGAATGATTCATTAACTGACACTTTTATTAACCATGTTTATTATGATTTCATACTCATCTCTCAAACACAATACATAAGTATTCCACAAAGCAAGAGGGAGAGTTGTGACAAATTTTATATAATTTCCTCACTTTGTCATGTTCACCATCTATATGTATCAAGTACCGTTTAAGAAAGAACATCAAAATCGTACCATAAACCTCGTGCTACTCTTACTAGACTATTTCACGGGAAGGGATGTGACAGATCAAGATGCAGACTTTATTAAAACAGCAAGGGCTGTGGGGGCCGCTGTCTGCGAAACAGAAGAAGTCAGCGGTCGATGACGATGAGTGGAATACCCTGGAGGAGAAGGCCCACTCAACCATCATGCTATCGTTGTCTGATGACGTCATCATTGAAGTCGTTGCTGAGAAGACTGCCGCGGGCTTGTGGTTGAAACTAGAGAGTCTGTACATGACTAAGTCTCTAACCAACAAGCTGCATCTTAAGCAACGTTTGTTCAGCTTGAGGATGCAAGAAGGTACGCCTTTGAGGGAACATCTCGAACAGCTTAACTCTATTTTGCTGGATCTGCGTAATATAGATGTTCAAGTTGATGACGAGGATGCTGCCCTAATCCTGCTGGTTTCTTTGACGAGTTCATATGAGAATTTCGTTGATTCTTTTATTGCCGGTAAAGAAAGCGTGTCGTTGGAGGATGTCAGATCTGCTCTTCATACGAGAGAGATCAGACATAAGGCGTCCAGATCTGGTACAGGTGGTGAGGCATCGGGTTTGGCTGTTACAGGTGGAAAGGGAAAGAAGAAATCTGGTAAAGGGAATTCGAACAAGAATTCCAAGGGTCCCGGTCCACAGCCAGGTGATGCTTGTCACAACTGTAAGGAAGTGGGGCATTGGAAGTACAACTGTCCCAAGAGAAGAGGGCAACAAAAGAAACAAGGTCAGTTGCCGTGGCAGAAGTGGACAACAGTTCTGAAGACGATCTCGCCTTGGCTGTAGATGAGAAGGCACATCGTGGTGATGTGTGGTTTCTGGATACTACAGCCTCATACCATATGTCTCCGAACAGGGATTGCTTCACAACCTACGAGCAGATAGATGGTGGTAACGTGGTCATGGCTAATGGAGCTGTCTGCAAGGTTGTTGGAATCGGGTCCATAAAGGTTCGGACACATGATGGTTCGTTCTGTACCGTGAATGATGTCAGGCATGTTCCACGAATGACAAAGAACCTGATCTCCTTGAGTCTACTCGACAGCAAGGGCTTCAGCTTCAAAGGAAAAGGTGGAGTTGTGTATGTCTGCAAGGGTTCGAGGAAGGTACTGAAGGGCGTGAAGCGTGGGACCTTGTATGCATTACAAGGGTCTGTGTTGTCTGGTTCTGCTACAGTTGCATCATCTCAGGTTCATCAGGAAGATATGACCACTCTCTGGCACATGAGACTGGGGCATATGAGTGAACGAGGGATGCAAGTTCTGTCGAAGAGGGATCTTCTTTGCGGGCACAAGGTGCAGAATTTGGAATTCTGTGAGCATTGTGTGTTTGGGAAGCTACATCGCAACAAGTTTCCCAAGAAGGGTATCCACCGGACGAAGGGGATACTGGATTACCTCCACTCCGACTGTTGGGGTCCTTCACGAGTTGAATCCATTGGAGGCAGCAGGTATTTTCTGTCTATTATTGATGATTATTCGAGATTTACTTGGATTCTCATGATGAAGCAGAAAAGTGAGGCTTTCACGAAGTTCAAGCAGTGGAAGACATTGGTGGAGAATCAGACCGGGAAGAAGATCAAGAAGCTGCGAACGGACAATGGTCTGGAGTTCTGCAATTCTGAGTTCAACGAATTCTGCAAGGATGAAGGGATTGCCCGTCATCGGACTGTTAGAGATACACCCTAGCAGAATGGCGTTGCGGAAAGGATGAACCAGATATTGTTGGAGAGAGCACGGTGCATGCTCTCTAATGCTGGACTAGAGAGAATATTCTGGGCAGAAGCAGTGAACATGGCGTGTTTCCTGATCAACCGTGGACCTCACACAGGTATCGAGTTGAAGACTCCTTATGAAATGTGGTATGGTAGGCCTGCTGATTACTCTTCACTGAAAGTGTTTAGGTGTCCTGTTTATTATCATGTGGATGAGGGTAAACTGAACCCAAGGGCAAAGAAGGGTGTATTTGTGGGTTATGGAGATGGAGTTAAAGGATTTCGAGTCTGGTCGCCTTCTGAGCATCGAGTTATACTCAGTAGAAATGTGATATTTGATGAGAAGTCTATGTTTAACCCCATGTTGAAGGTTACTGTTGTTGAAGGTAGCAGGAATGTTGATAAACAGGTGGAGCTGCAAACTCTCAAAGAGAGTGAGTTTGAGCACCAAGGTGGAGAAGATCAACATGATGAGGATGTCTTTGCAGAGCCAGAAATTTCAAAGCCCAGTGCACGAGCTCAACAGTCTATTGCTTCCGGTAGACCGAAGAGAGCGACTGCAGGAGTACCTCCACAGAGGTATGGCTTCGAGGACATGGTGGCGTATTCATTTCAGGTTGCTGAGGAAGTGGATGCAGGAGAGCCACAGTCCTATAGAGAAGCCGTTTCGGGTGGCGAAGCTGATCAGTGGCTTGCCGCAATGGGAGATGAGATGGAATCCCATGGCAGGAATCAGACTTGGGAGCTAGTCAAACGACCACAGGGAAGGAAGATTGTGACAAACAAGTGGATCTACAAGAAGAAGGAAGGAATCACTTCTAAAGAGGGCATGAAATTTAAAGCTCGGGTGGTTGCACGAGGCTTCTCGCAGAGGGAAGGAGTTGACTACAATGAGATTTTCTCACCAGTGGTCAGACATACTTCGATCAGAGTGCTACTAGCAATAGTGGCACATTATGACTTGGAGCTCGAGCAGCTAGACGTGAAGACAGCTTTCCTACATGGAGAGTTGGAGGAAGAAATTTACATGACTCAGCCAGAAGGATTCGAGGTTCCAGGAAAAGAAGACTATGTTTGTAAGCTGAAGAAGTCCTTGTATGGACTTAAGCAGTCTCCGAGGCAGTGGTACAAGAGATTTGACAGTTACATGCTTGAGCTGGGCTACAGCAGAAGTCCATATGATTGTTGTGTGTATCACAACAAGGTGGAGGATGGTTCGATGATCTATCTTGTTCTGTATGTGGATGATATGCTCATAGCTGCGAGGTCGAAGTCTGATATCTAGAAGTTAAGGGGGCTTCTCAGTGCTGAGTTTGAGATGAAGGATTTGGGAGCTGCTCAGAAGATCTTGGGTATGGAGATTTACAGGGACAGGTCGGAGAAGAAGCTTTTCTTGTCACAGAAGAGCTACATCCAGAAGATACAGTCGAGGTTTGGCATGTCTTCAGCAAAGCCCTTAAATACTCCTAGTGCTTCAAATGTTCATCTATCCTCAGCTTATGCACCGCAATCAGAGGCTGAGGAGTACATGTCGAGAGTCCCATATGCTAGTGCAGTAGGTAGCTTGATGTACGATATGGTATGCACTAGACCTGATCTTGCACATGCTATTAGTGTTGTCAGCAGGTTTATGATACAACCTGGGAAGGAGCATTGGCAGGGTGTGAAGAGGATCTTCCGGTACCTTAAGGGTACACCTGATGTGGGGATTAGCTTCGGAAGTGATACAGAGTGCTTGGTGTCTGGGTATTCTGACTCGGACTATGCTAGAGATGTTGACATGAGGAGATCGATGACTGGTTATGTATTCACTCTTGGGAGTTCTGTAGTGAGCAGGAAGGCAACTCTGCAGTCAGCGGTGACATTGTCTACTACTGAGGCAGAGTATATGGCGTTGACAGAAGCTGCTAAGGAGGGAATATGGTTGAAGGGACTGGTTGGTGATCTTGGTCTACATCATGATCAGGCAGTGGTGTATTGCGACAGTTTGAGTGCAATATGCTTAGCCAAGGATCAAGTCCACCATGAGAGGACTAAGCACATCGACGTGAGGTATCATTTCTTGAGAACAGAGAAGAGGATTAAGGTGAAGAAGGTTGGCACCGCGGATAATCCTGCTGATATGTTCACGAAGCCGGTTCCACATGGCAAGTTCCAACACTGCTTGGACTTGCTGAATGTCTTGAGTGGGTGACTCCGCCCTACGGGGCATTGATGGCGGGAGAGAGAGAAGGAGCAGAGTACATCAGAGATTTCAGAGGAAGAGGCATCAAGTCAAGGTGGAGATTTGTTGATATGACTTGAATCGGACTATCAGCCGCTACGACTGGTAATCGGGGGTCTCGCTGCCCGGTCAGCGAGTGGGGTCCAGGGGCAACGCCCCGATGGGGGTGCGGGGGCAACGCCCCCGGCCCACGGTGTATGGGCTCAATGTTGTTTGGGTTCGGGTTCTGGGCCTGGTCTGTAATCGTTTCCTTTGCCATATTGGATTAGGTTTAGACCCACATGGAGAAGTACTATAAATACTTCTCATACCCCTCTGTAATCTGTAATCTCCTCGATATAGTGAAACTGGCTCTCTCTCGCCCGTGGACTAGCTAACACACATCGTGTTAGTGAAGCACGTAAATCGTGTGTCTGTGTTTTTTGATTCTCGCTTTCGTATTTTTGCTTTGTCGATTCCGGCGATTTCCCGATCCGTAGCAGCGCGTTTATAACATATTCCTTATATGCTTCCATGTTAAGTTAATTAGTTTATGTTAATCCTTTACTTTATGCAAAGCATCATGATGCATCAGTAAGCTATGTCTTAAGGCAAGAAAATACCAGTTCAATTATAAACTAATCAATTGAAGATAATAAGTTTAGGTCTTCCCATTGCGTGGGAGATTGTCTTAAGTAAGCTCAGAATTCTCAAGTTAAGTAAGAAAGTATAAGCTTAAGTACGTCTCACCATTGTGTGATAAGTTGGTTTAAGAAAGTACGTATAAGATACCAAGTAAATAAGAATAAGTAACCTCCCTTAACTAGTCGTAGACAGTCACCTTACTCCTTGTAGACGAGGAGCACCTTGTAGAGGAGGGGTCATGATATGTATGTCATGATTGATGAAGGACGGGGTCACAACTACCCATATAGATTGAGAGGTTATGTTATGTTACTCTTTATAGATGAGAAGGTTATGTTCATGATATGTTTGTGTCGGATGGTTGTGCTAGTTAAGTCGAGGGCGGGATCCCAACTCAATTTAAGTAAGCGAAGAATACTATAATGATATGTTAGCAACATATATACTTCTACTAATGTACCCAATAACGTACCATGAGAATTGCATGTGCATAGTTGTTTATTTACGTATGATAAAAAAATTAGAATTAGGACAAACCCTATATCCCGCACTCAGGAGTTTCAAGAAGACAAGAGCATTCAATCACTTGTCAGGAGGAAAACTATTGCTTGGGATGTCATCCTCGTAAGGGTCAGTGAATGCAAAAGCTTCCAAGTGAACTCATGCTCATTTTTTAATTGTGAAGAGGGATTTCCTACTTTGATTTGAAGTCATTTCATGATACCTCCATTGTTCTTTTCATTTTTTAGTTATTTTAATTATCCAAGGACATTTTTGTAAAAGTAGTGTATATGCGAGATAGGGTATTACATTTTGGTAACAAAGCCAGTCTCCCTCTCTCTTCATTTGGTAAGTGAGATACTGGAAAATCGGGCTTCATTTTTCCTACGAGTACGAAATTTTATAAGTACTTCTACCATCTCCAACTTTGGAGACCTCCATTTTTTCTAGTTTTTCTTTACTTAAAAATGTACTTATGATAATCTTAATCTAATTTGTTCATGTCAATTTTTGTATAGTTCGTCCTCATTTTTAAATACCGATAGAATTTTTTTAAATTCCAAGACCGATTTTTTTGGCAAAAAATGATTGAGCTAAAATATTTTATAAAAAATCCAGGTGGCGGGGACAACCACCTGCCCGGGCGGTCCCCAAAAATGCGAGAGCCGCCATTCCCTTCGCCATTTATGCCGAAGCATAAGGTTTACTATTGACAATATCTTAATCACTAAATGTTAAACTTCTAAATCGTCATACTTTATCCGTAAACATTGTTATAAGTAAATTGATAAATATTTAAGTATATAATTTATAATGTAAAATAACATACATTTGAGATAGTTTAAAAGATATTATATTGAAGATTAGATAACTCAAGATAGGTTCTCAAATATAATAAAGTCAAATAGTCATTCCATATAAGACTGTAATATAGTTAATTAGTCATGTCCTTCATATAAAAATTAAGGGTAAATAAAATTTAATATCCAAACCTTTTATTTTAAACAATATAATAGCCAAACCTTTTCGAAAACAATTTAATATCCAAATCGTCAACTTTATGTCTGTTTGACCGTTAGTTGACACTTCAAAAAAGTTCGAAGTACGACACTTCATCAATATCCATCGATATCTTCTCTGAAAAACCACCAACATATCGTAGTTCCAAACCCGAGAAGTCCATGATTCCACCATGATGGTATAGAATATCTAAATATTCAGTCATCTGCAATGCCAAAACAAGAAACAAAGTTGTATTGTGACAATTTCCCCTAAACAAAGCTTTTTTGAAGTGTCAACTAACGGTCAAACGAACGGAAAGTTGACGATTTGGATATTAGATTGTTTTCGAAAAGGTTTAGCTATTATATTGTTTAAAATGAAAGGTTTGGATATTAAATTGTATTTACCCAAAAATTAAAGATTCATATTTGAAAGGTTAAAATTTTGAAACACTAAAAAGTTGAAAACACCAAATTTGTTTCCTCTTTCTTTTCATAATCACTAAAATTCATCTCCTTCTTTTTCTTTCCATAAATTAGAACTTAGAAGCATTCAAGTTTCTCTTTTATTTCTCTTGAGTAAAATTGAAAGAACCATATTTCCTCTTCGTTCCTTCCTCAAATACTTGTAAACACAAAAAATTTCTCTTTTCATAAATAAAAAAATCAAACCTTTTCACTTCTTTCTCTTCCTATAAATAAAAAAAAAGGGTTAATTGCAAGGATGGTCACTGGGTTTACTAAAACCGTTCATGTTTGGTCACTGCAAATATTTAATTCCATTCATGGTCACTAAGATTAGTTCAATAGTTCAAGTTTGGTCACTCTCCGTTAGTCTCCGTTAGTTTTTGCTGATGTGGCAGTCAACTATTATAGTTGACCGTTAAATGAGTGACGTGGCCAATAAAAAAAATAATAAAATAAAATTTAAATATTTACAATTTCCACCTCATTTTACAACTATTAAAAATAAATATTTTACAATTATTAAACTATTAAAAATAAATATTTACAATTTCCACCTCCCCACCAAGATCGGCTCGGAGAACAAGCAATTCCGCGTCGGCAAGTTTCACAAGAAGAAGCGATTCGCCACCGCGCTGGTCGGTGGGGAGACGGTCGTCGACGTGTTCGACGGCGAGGAGATGGAGTGGCACCTGCCTCATGCGAAAGGTAGACGGATGATCGGCCGGGCCGGAGGGCTCGCCGGACGGGGACTGATCGGAGAAGGTGGCGGTGGTGATGCCGGCGATGATGATGGCTACGGGAGTTCCGATCTTTGCTACCGGTTGACGTTTCAGTCGCGGAACCGAGGCAAGGTTTTGAATCGCTACCTCCGCGATGTCTACCCGGTGTTCGAGGAAATGTGTCCCGAGTTGCAGCTGTTCACGTGGTGTTGGTCCGAATGTCTTCGCGCCGGGGGTTGGAGACCGATGGATTCGAGGCATCCGAAGACGTTCGAAACGATCGCCATGGACGAGGAGCTGAAGAGGAGAATTGTGGATGATCTGGAGAGGTTTGTGACGAGGAGGGATTTCTACAAGAAGAATGGGGATCCTTGGAAGAGGGGTTACTTGCTGTACGGGCCACCTGGAACTGGGAAATCTAGTGTTGTTGCTGCCATGTCCAATCACTTGAAGTTCAAGCTCTATGTTATGGAGCTGGGCAACATTCGCTCTGATTATGAGCTGCGGCATGCCCTGCTCTCGATCCAGAACAAATCGATCGTCGTTTTCGAGGATATCGATTGCTGCCCTGAACTCCATGCCAGATCGGAATTGAATGGCGACGATGAATCAACTCATCAGAATGGTCGCACCAATGATGGTAGTCATCTCAAGGTTAAGAACCTTGCAGCCAAGGTAATGAAGCTCAAATCTTTTCTACTTCAGTTGCATTACAGATTATAACTAGTAATTTGTGGAGTTTTTCTAGTTCACGCTCTCCACTATGCTGAATTGTAAATATTTATTTTTTATTAGTTTAATAGTTGTAAAATGAGGTTGAAATTGTAAAATATTTAAATTTTTTTATTTTTTATTTTTTTATTGGCCACATCACTCATTTAACGGTAAACTATAATAGTTGACTGCCACATTAGCAAAAACTAACGGAGACTAACGGAGAGTGACCAAACTTGAACTATTGAACTAATCTTAGTGACCATGAATGGAATTAAATATTTGCAGTGACCAAACATGAACGGTTTTTGTAAACCCAGTGACCATCCTTGCAATTAACCCATTTAACAACCATATGAATTAAAATCATAAGATATAGATTGATTCGCCCATAAGTTGGTAATCGAGTTGGCTCTCTAGCCACATGTTAAGACATATCATGAGCTCTAAACGAGCAAACTTACGAGTTTAGCTCAACAAGCCACCGAATCGAGCTAGCTCGCGAGCTTCACGAGCTAAACAAAGGTGAGCTCGTGTTCGGCTCGTTTATTAACGAGTCGAGTTTCGAACGAGCTCTTCTCGAGTCGAACGCCGAGCCGCTCGGCTCATTTGCAGCCCTAGTGCCACGCCCATTGTCGCTGCCACCCATCGCGAACTCGAGGAGGAAGAAGGAATCCATGCCGCCTACCTCCGACACCACAATCTGACCGGCGCTGCAATCCTGGAATTGTGACGGGAAAGCAACGAAAGTATTGACCGGCGTTGCACCCCGATCTTCTAATCCGCTCCGCGGAGATAATCCTTCACCCACGAGAACTCTGCTGGCGTCGAACACAGAGGGCGGCGAGGTTGCCGTTAGCACGGCGGTCGTTGATGACGGCAGTAGCATCCTCGCAAGCCTTCTTCGCAGCTTCAACTTCCTTGATAGTCACCTGTTGTTGTGATTTTAATTAATCAGATGAAGAATTAATTAATTAATTAATTGGGGGGAATTGGAATTGCAGCGGCAGCGGGTGGAGTAGAACCAGAGGTGACCGGCGGCATCAGATCCTTCCCTTTCTTCTTTGTCCTTCATCGGCGGCAGACCTGGCGGCGGCGAGGAGCAATAGAGCCGCCCCGCGAGGAATGATTAGGGTGAAACCTTGGTTAGGGATGAATAAGTTGGGGCAACATTTTATATTTAGGTAAGTTTAGGGAGAGCGGATCCCTAGGGTTCCTTAGTCACTTGACTAAGCTCCTATTAGCCATTAGATCTGGACAGTTCAATCCAATGGTTAAAAAGTGGGAAGGGCTATTTAATTAATGATAGGGGTAGTTTGGGTATTATAGAAAATTACAAAGTATACAAATCGGATTTACAATCAGTACAAACCATACAAACATACGAACAGTACAAACTAAAGCGACAAAACATACAAACAGATTTACAAACATTACAAACGTATGAACTGTACAAACAATACAAACTAGACCGACAAACAATACAAACTATACAAAAAGAAAAAAACAACCGGGTTGACTTTGGAGGCTCCATCCCTATATAGAGGGGCTCCTTCCCAAAGTCAACCCGGGTGTTTTTTAGACATACAAACATGGTAGACAAAAATGACAAACTAGACCAAAAATTCATACAAAATGGAAAAACACCCGGGTTGACTTTGGAGGCTTCATCCCTATATAGAGGGCTCCGTCTCAAAGTCAACCCGGTTGTTTTTTAGACATACAAACATTACGAACATTGTGGACAAAAATGACAAACTAGACCGACAATCCATACGAACTGGAAAAAACACCCGGGTTGACTTTGGAGGCTCCATGCCTCCATCCCTATATAGAGGAGGTCCATCCAAAAGTCAAACAGGTTGTTTTTTAGACATAAAAAACATTACAAACATGGTTGACAAAAATGATAAACATCGTACACAAAAATAACAAAGTTTACAAACATTACAAAAAAAAAGACAAACATTACAAAATAACATAGCGTACAAACATTACAAAATAAACCGACAAACAGTACAAAACATACTAACCGTACAAAATGTCACTAAAAATGACAAACAATACAAACCGAATCTATACAAACATTACAAAATAGGTTAGCAAACATCACACATCCAACACTGTCGCCGGGAAATTTCCTTTGGTCGCCGGAACCGGAAAACTCTCTCTCTCCCTCCCTCCCTCCCTCCCTCCTCCACAAATAATTCCAGGGAGCCAAAATTCCCCAGCAAAAGAATACCAATGCCCAGCTCTCTCTCTCTCTCGTTGCATTTGGGGGATTCCCCAGCAAATGAATAAAAATGGCCAGAGGATCTCTCTCTGCATTTGGGGCAGGGGATTATTCCCATGAATAAAAATGGCAAGGGGATCTCACCGACATCAAAGTAGTAAAAGTGGCTGCGGAATTATTCCCAGCACCGTCGAGAGGAAGGGAACCGCCGAGAGCCGGCAGAATTAAGGCGGCGGGAGGGAATACGAGCAGCACCTGGGCTGTTTTTTAATTAATTAATAATTGAAATTAATAAAATCATGCAATTACTATATTGTTCTTCATTAAATTGAATTAATATGAGCATTTAGATTTAAATAAGATTGAATGGCTGAGATGCACTTAGTCACATGACTAAGGGGGGTCCCCTTAGTCACCTGATCTTGCCCAACTTTAGGGCGAACCTTTTTAAAATTAGGACGTTAAATAGAAATTAATAATGGCTCCCAATTTTTCCCACCTAAATTTTGATTCCACTTTTTTTTTCTCCCGCAATGTATTTGTTTGTTTTGAGGAACTTTATTTCACAGAGATTTTTTCAATAATAGCACCTTTAAAAAAAAAATTTACAAAACTAGCACCCTTCCAAAAATAATTACAAAACTAGCACCTATTTTAATGGAACGCACCTTAGAGGTGCGTTTTATAAATGAAACGCAGCCTAAGAATGCGTTTCCAACATAAATCGCACCCCTAAGATGCGATTTCTAAGGTAAAACGCATCCCCCAAGATGCGTTCAATATTTGGTCGCCAGCGACCTTCCGGATCGCACGATTGAGATGCGATCCAACGGGCTGGAGCATAGCCACGTCAGCAATCCGCGCGGTGAATTGTAGATCGCACTGGCGAGGTGCGATTTCTCGCCTGGAAAAGTGGAGCGTCGGTTTACCGAGCGTTCAACGCCTCGGGCCGCGGAGATCGCATCGGGGAGATGCGTTTTCACGCGGAGATCGCATCGGGGAGGTGCGATTCGACGGGGGTAAAATTACCCTACCGCCCCTGAGGGGTGCGATCTGTTGGGTATAAATACCCCCCTTCCCCCTCTCATTTCTTCACTCCACAACCCATTCTTCCTTCTCTCTCTAGATATAATCTCTCTAAACCCTCCCCTCCCAAAAGCCTAGGAAATAAAAGTCTGTTGGTTGCGGCTAAGTCCGATCTGCCATCAGAAAATATTTCTTAGGTTTTTTTCTCAAAAACCCGCCGAGCCGAAGCTCTGTCCGAATTACGCCGAAAAAATGGCCGATTGGTGGCAAGGAGAAGGAGTTTATGTTGATGAATTTCAAGCGGTATGTACTCATTATCCATGTTTAATTTTTATTGTTGTTATAAGTTTTTTAATTAATCTATGTACTGACCTCGTTGTTATTTTCTCGTAGGTTGGGGAGGACGTCGATATATACAACCAACGGTATTATCTCGAGCAAGGACCGGTGGATCCAACGGACTTATACGACCAACCCAACCATCGGTCAAGGGATGTTTGGAACGATCACCCGGTACATACAATTCTTCACCATTTGTCCTTCTTTTATTTTGTTAATATAAAATAAATTTATGTTTATTTTTTAATCGTGTTGGTGGTTTTCAATAATTTAATCGAATACATAGCGCCACTTACCTCGACTCTTTATAAAGAGATGCACGTCTAAGGAAATGGGGTTTTAAGCGATTATCATATCCTCCCATTACCTGGGAAAATCGGGTATTAAGAGATCCTCGGATCCCCCCTTTTTCTGTCAAAAAGACTGCGTTTCTAAGAAGATGTATACCTCTTCTAAGAGCCTAACGAGTGTTGCTTTGTATTCGATTAAATTATTTAAAACAACTAATACGATTAAATTATTTACCAAAAATTTGAATATGTATGTTTCTACTTAAATTATTATTCATTAACAATGTTATTTATGTTAATTAATTTAGTATGTTTGTTTTACGATAATATGTATGTACCTCTTTAAATTATTATTCATTGACAATGTTATTATGTTAATTAATTTAGGACGTTTGTTTTATGATAATATGAAATGTCTTTTTATGATAATAAAACTATTTTTTATGTCGCATAATTTAATTTAATTAATTTAGTTATACGAAAAAAAACCCTTACTAATATTAATTAACGTGTACATTTTTGCTAGGAGGCACAAACAATAATCCGCTACAGGGGTACCACCAATGTGCTCCCATTCCTCCCAGCTATCTTGCCATTTCTCAAAAGGGCACGGTTAGACTCGATTCGGCATTTTAACGGCATCCAAATCGATCGCCAACTCATCACCGCATTAGCCGAGAGATGGAGAAAGGAGACCCATTGTTTCAACTTTAGAGAAGGAGAGGCCACCATCACGCTAAAGGATGTCGCCATCCTAACCCAGGGTTAGACGCCTCCAATGCCAGTATTAGTCTGGGAAGGAATGCATATGATTCTTCCCAATCACCATAGACGGCGGCCATAGCTTTCTGCTTTCCATGCCACGCCTTCTTATAGTTAATCATATAACCAAAACGACTTGCAATGTCAGCGATTATGACTTTCACCTTCAGATCCGGTTCAGCCTCAATCAGATGCTTGATAGCCGCAGCAACCACCCTGGATTTCAACTGTCGATGGCCTTGGGAAGTTATGGATGACACACATGTGTGTGTGTTGACCGCACGGGATATGACCCAGTGGCCGTGTCTCTTGCTGTTGATGGCCCGAATCCTAACATTGCACCCCTCGTGATGATTACGACATCTGACTATGAGCCTTTTGGTGTTGGAATGAGTTGTGTCCCATTCAAAATGCCGGGTCATTGCTTCAGTCTCAAGGGCGTGCCGCACATCCTTCTTCGAGCCAAATTGTTGGCCCTTCGTAAACCCAGTGAGTGGGCCCCATATTGGGACCTCTGGTGGCTCCATGTCGCTGTCGACCATCCAATTGTCGTCTGGAATGTGATTGTAGTAGGGGACTGGTACACGGTCAGGAGCCACATCATGATCATTATCTGAATCTGAATCTGGTGCTGAATCATCAGCACCTTCAAGAGGGTCTGAGCTGTCTGCACTGACGTTGTTCTCTCCTTCTTCATCAGAGGGGTCGCTGACTGGTGCTGGTGTGGCAGCCTCCGTCTGATCCTGCTCATGAAAGGCACCTTCATCAGCTCCATAATGGTAGTTGTGAAAACTACCGCTGCCTGTCAGGAAGTTGTACTGAGCTTGGTTGGGGATATCCGGTTGAACTTCTTCTTCATATGACGAGAAAGATTGATGATGGCCTGCACCTTGCCCTCCATCTTGGTACTGAAAATAGGAATGAGGATCATGGTAACTTTGGTAGGGATGATCGTCATATAATTCACCTCCACCATGGATACCAGATGTTTGACCGTGTCCAGAATGACCTCCAACACCAACGGCTGGCTCGGTGTAAACGAACATCTCGGCTTTGGCCAATTTGTTGGACCTCAAGAATTCGAGCATGGAATCTACGTCATCTTGAGTGGTTATTGTAACATCCAGTTTCGGCTAAAATCGTATTACTGTCGCTAGAAAAATTACGCCATTAAAATCGGGGATTTTGATAGTATTTCGACGAAAATCGAAATATCGATCGATTGGATAAGTACCCATTACAATATATAATTATAATTATAATAGTAATTATATATGTTATTCTTTTTTCACATGTTTTGGTGTCGCCTGGAGAGGGAAACTAAATAAAAGAAAAGAGTAAAGTGATCAGGTGAATTAGTGAGAAGCGGTGGGAAACTTGTTCTATATATATATCGCATTCCGTTCTCCCCGTCGTTTATTTTCATGAGCCGAGCAAGAGAACTGAAACAGGGGAGTTACGAGAGAAACTAGGGTTTTGATCCTTTGAGTTTTAATCATTCATAATCAGCACAATTGGTACG